ATTTCAAACTGAAAATTCACTACGAACTTTGGAAGGTTCCACATCAGTTAAAGTGTCACTGGACAAATGAGAATCTTCAGCACCAGAACTTTTAAAGTAATGACAGACAAAAATTCTGATGGAGGAAAGAGATACAAACAAAAGTATATAAAGATAGTTTCTCTTATTTATAACTTTTCAAATATTTTAATTAATTGCTTGAAAAGATAAGCTAGCTCGAATAAAAGAGCCATTTTTTCTTCGACCCATATGCAAATCTTATTTTCTTTCTAACCATTTTACCTCGGTGGCCTCCTTTTCTACGACTCACCATTCTCTTCTAACTTCTGAATTTCTACTAGTTTGCTGTTGGCAGGGATAAGGTCCAAAATAATACGGACTTTCTATTGAAATCTGCAGTCCCCCCCAATGAGAGGAAGCAAAGGCATGAATATGGCACCCTCATAATGATTTAGCTGGGGCTTAATGAAATTTTCATCACAACCTGCTGTTCATTTTAATGGCCTTTGAAAAACAATGGAAAACATAGCTTGAGGGAAGAAAAGATTTTTCCGTAGCAGATATCTGTCAGCTTAACATTTAGTTCCATTCACTCTCTCTCTACTCTCCTCATCCCCATATTACTGCCCTCATCACAGAACTATAACACTGTTTTGTATTTTTTCATTAAATTTATTCCTAGGTATTTTATTCTTTTGATGTTATAGTACATCACAGAACTACAGATCATTTGTTTGTACTGTATGCAATGTCACTGTCCTGATGTTTGGCTAACGTCAGGTTTTGGTGTCCATTCTCATGTCTAACCATACCCTTTAATTAGTGGAGTTTTTAATCAGTTTGAATAATGACCCCAACAGTCACCCTGTGACAATATTTAACATCAGTTTCCTCATCTGAAAATGGAGATAATAAGAATCAGAATATAGAATGTAACTTCCCACTTGCTGTGGAGCCTTTCACATATCTTCCTAGATATATTTCTCCCTTTTTCTCTTTTTGCAGTTAAAAAAAAATAGAAAGAAATTTCCTTTAACACTCTATTCCTTTTCTATGATACAATTTTCTGCCATGTTATTATATTTTTTCTTGGTGATTAAGATCACCACTTTACTCAGATACATAAATTGCTCCTTGATAATACTCCCAATAGTTGCAGTTACTAAATATTCTTACAAGAGCAAATTTCTTCATCAATAAAAGTGAGTCTAATTTCTCCAAAGAAGACATACAGATGGCCAATAGGCACATGAAAAGATGCTCAACATCACTAATATTAGAGAAATGCAAATCAAAACTACCATGAGGTACCACCTCACACCAATCAGAATGGCCATAATTAGAAAGTCTACAAATAATAAATGCTATCGAGAGTGTGGAGAAAAGGGAACCCTCCTACACCATTGGTGGGAATGTGAGTTGGTGCAGCCACTATGGAAAACAGTATGGAGGTTCCTCAGAAAACTAAAAATAGAGTTGCCGTATGGTCCAGCAATCCCACTCCTGTGCATATATCCGGAGAAAATTCTAATTTGAAAAGATATATGCACCTCAATGTTCATAGCAGTGCTATTTAAAATAGCCAAGACATGGAAGCAACCTAAACGTCCACTGACAGATGAATGGATAAAGAAGATGGGGTATATACATATATACAATGGAATACTACTCAGCTATAAACAAGAATGAAATAATGCCATTTGCAGCAACAGGTATGGTTCTAGAGATTATCACACTTAGTGAAGTCAGTCAGAAAGAGAAAGACAAATACCATAGGACATCACTTATATGTGGAATCTAAAAAATGACACAAATGAACTTATTTACAAAAGAGAAACAGACTCATAGATACAGAAAACAAACTTACCAAAGGGGAAAGGGGGTGGGAGAGGGGTAATTAGGAGTTTGGGATTATCAGATACAAACTAGTATACATAAAATAGATAAACAGCAAGGTCCTACTGTATAGCACAGGGAGCTATATTCAATATCCTGTGATAAACCATAATGGAAAAGAATATTATCTATAAGCATAACTGAATCCCTTTGCTATACACCAGAAACTAACACATTGTAAATCACCTATACTTCAATCGTAAGTAAGTAAATAAATAAATAACTGTGAGTCTACTTACATTTCTGTGTACTCAAAGCATGTCTAGGAATCTTGTGTACGTAAACATAACACCATCTTAGTCGTTTTGTATTCATACAAAAACTATCTTTCTGGGACTCGGGCTTCTAGAAGCTTGGCATGTTCAACCCATATGCCAGTCTTCCATAAAGACTATCTCTGTATTTTCTCAATATCTTTGTATTACTCAAAAACAAGTCACTCTTGAGCTGAGCTTTTAATATATTTGTAGGAAGGAAAGTACAAAAAAAGAGCTGTGGGAAATACAATAATGAAAACAGTCTAATGTCCACATACATAATGATATTTCTTTGTGTCAACTCTTTCTGCCATGGATGCTCTATGTCTGTTCTTTTGCCTGTGTAGCTAATTTTCTCCTAATTCCCAGTGCCTCTGAATGTTTCCTGCTAAGCAAATTGGCAAGCACTGTCTCCTGCCCTTTTTCCTGTTAGGAATTCTTCGTTTGGCTTCAGCCTGTCATATACTTCCAAATTAAGAGTCTGTGCACCCACTTGGAAGGAAGCTCACATGAAACGCTGAGGGAATACCAAGGCCCTAAGAGAAATGACACCTCGGTAGCAAAGAGCACACTTCATATCCAGATCTTGCTTTCTAACACCATTCTCCAATAAAAGGAACCAGGGCTTCTTAGAGAAATGGCTTATTCTAGGACTGGGAGAAGGAAAGATACAAGATGAATCTGCAGTATCTTATAGTACCAGAAAGTAAAGAAGTGTTCAAAAAAAAAAAAAAAAAAAACCCACCATCACAGTGGTACGTCAAAGTGACAATAGAAGGAGCCTCCAATGAACAAAGCTGAAACAATGTGACTAACAAAATAAAAAATTGTATTGTAACTCAAAGTATAAAATAAACATCCATGAGTTCATACTGATATAAATAAGTGATTGAATAAGTAAATGATAGAGAAGAGATAAATCTCCAATAAAGAATAAATCCAAATAAATTTCTCAATGATTCACTGTGAAGGATGGGGATCAAGGTTCCCTACTCCTTAAATGTGGGTTGTACACAGCACCTTCCTTCCATAGAGTAAGGTACAGAAAGGAGGCAGGGAGGCTTTACAGTGGAGAAACCAGACAAACACTGTTATCAGCCAGGTGATCAAGGTCAACATCAACATTCGCAAATCACATAGTAAGTATGTACTTTTGAGGTGATGTGACAAGAATGGTGCTTGGTTTCTGTGGTCCTTCTACCCAAACCCACAGTCCCAGTTTAATTATGAGAAAGCCACCAGACAAATTCTAATAGAGTGGCATTCTACAATATATCTGAACAGTATTCCTCAAAATTTTCAAGGTTATCAAAAACAAGAACAGTCTGAGAAACTGTTGCAGCCAAAAGGAGCCCAAGGAGACATGAGAACTAAATAGCTAAATGTAATCTGTTATGTGATGGCATCCTAGAAGAGAAAAAGCACACGGTGAAAACTAAAGAAATCTGAATAAACTATGGACTTTAGTTAATAATGCTGTATCACAACATAAAAGGTGCAAAATAATTTTAAATGCAGAAAGTTAATCACGCAGAATGAATAGCATATACAAAAATAAAGAAAAAGAAAACTATCATAAAGATGTTATACCAGAAAGCTATGAATCTGGGTGATTTTTATCTTCTTCCTTTTAATTTTTCTGTTTTTTAAACAGCTCTTATAGTAAGAAAATACTATTTTTACTATCAGAAAAAAATGCAGCACATTAAAAGAAAAAGGTTGTGTGGGTCCTCCTCAAAACTCCATTTTTATCTCCATGCAGATTAGAGCCAAAAAGTCTTTGGCTGACTAGATTATTTCCAAAATTCCTTCCAACTGTAAGATCATGTGAATTACATAAATTTTAACTAAAATCCGTGTCCCAGCTATGCATCTGGTAGAGACCCAGAAATATTTAATTACCACATGACTCCAAATACTGGTTAACATACATTTTGCGCCAGATATAATTTACCAGTGTCCTAACAACAGCTAAAAATAGTGTTAAATAGTATAAATGCAGTATATTTTTGGTGTAAAGCATGTCTTTTTATGTCACTGTTTTATGTTTGTTTGTTTTACTTTTCCATCTGACTCTGAAATAAATAGGAGGCATGTTCTTGTGTGCAACGCGGCATCCGTGTTTAGGATGGGCATAGCTTTTAAACAGGAGTTAGTAAACATCTGTAACATAAAGGATGACTATCATTTATTCATAAATTATACAGTTTGCATCAATCGTTTTACTAGTTTGTTTGCTTTCATTTTAAGATTAGTCCATGAGCATTATCACCTGTAGGATACTATCTGTAACTATTAAAGAGATTTAGAAAATGAAATCTTAAAAGAAAGGCATCCTGGAAGTTGAAAAACTGGGAACCTCATCTGAGCTAACAGTAAGAGAATCACTACTTTTCAAACACACAATAGTTCTAACCATACTCATTTTAGACTATACAAAAAAATAGACGGAATTGTCTAGGCAGTCTAAGATGCATTAATGTATAAAGGTTATAAAATGTAACAAAGTTGTAAAATGGCCCTGGTGGGGAAGCACAAACTAGACTGCAGATATCTGGCAGGTAGGCGGTGACTGTCCTGGGCCCTTCTGCCACTTTGTATTCTTGAACCTTAAGTTTTACTCAACCACAACTTACTCGTGTGAAAATAAGGAAGACACCACAACAAAAATTAATGATTTATAAAACTGGGGTTAGACGTATAAACATGTTTCTAAAAAAAAAAATACTATCCATCTCCATTGCATTAGGTTTCTTCCAATTTAACCTTGAGAGTGCATCAGAAAAGGGAGCTAGAAGTTAAAATCAAACCATTAAAATCACGTTTGTTTTCTTTTCCATCCTTTACCTTCTGGCTCATTTTTGATGAGCTCTTCCATCTTCCTCTGCTTCAAGGTGTCAACAACATCAGCTAAGCTGCCTTTGCGCCGCTCAGGAGTCCCCAGGGCTGTACTAGACAAGGACTCGCCACTCTGTCGCCCACCTTCTTCTGCCTTCTGAGGTGAGGTAGATGAGTTGTGTGGGGCAAATGAAGACATAACTTTATTGCCATCAACTTCCTGAAAGAGAAAGCAAAAGAAAAAATATATATATTTGTTTAAAATTCAGTCAGCTTTTTAATTTTAATTGGTTACATGGCTTATTCGGCTGCAACGGTGAAATGTCACTCTGCAAGAGTAAAAGGAATAAAGAAATTTCAAAAAAGAATACATTAACTTTACAGGTTGACACTAGAGTGAGACAAAGATCAATTCATAGGAGAAGTAAAAACAAGAAGATTCTCTCCCTTAGACTGAGTTCAAACGGCAACACAGCCTTTCTACAAAGCCTATATTGATTAGTTTTGTCTATTTTTTGCTTTTGTTTGAAAGCCTTAGATTTTCCTATGAACATTAAATGTAGTGGTCATCTGTAATAAACCTTCTCATGATATTATAATGTTTAAACAAATAACATTCCAAATATTTAATTTTCTTTTAAATTTTAAGCAGCTGCCTGTTCTTTATGGTACTCCTAATTAAAGGAGGGTCCTCTTTTAAGTTCTCCACCTTCCTCTCATGCTTTTAAGAAGACATCAGCCACCCAAGTTATTCTGACATCAGAGAAGTGTACTGTAAATTCATTTCTGCTTATGCAGAAGATATTTCCAATTCCATTTGTTATCTGAAGCACTGTTTCTGATGATACTCTTTGCTGTTTTGCACTTTAAGCCTCATTTGCCCTGAAAAATAAAGTTTCTTGCAGACTTTGCCTCTTCATAGTTGTGTACATGTATGAAAAGAAGTTATTCTATAATTCTAAAAGGTAGACATACTCTGGTGTTCCTTTTGGCATTATTTTCCCCATAATTTCTAGTAGAACTTCGGCAATTTGTGTAATATCAGGAGTATATTTTGTATAAGCAGCACTAAATTGTTTTTTCAGAACTTTTCAAGAGAAATGATATGGAAATGACAAAGAAAAATTTATTTTCTTAAAGGTTTTCCTTGTATAATCTCTTACCTCCATAATCCTTTGACTTGCCACAAAGCAGAGCTTTTCTTAAAAATAAATCTGTATCCTAACATCTTTGAGGAGGTTAGTCTCCCCCAGGTTTATTTCTTCATTCTGCAGCATTAAAAGTTTCCAATGAAATATATATGAGCGTGTGCATATTTAATATTCAGTATAATAGCTTATACCCGTGTTTACACATTTGTCCTCTATTTAAGACATGTAAATGAGGATCTGTTGACCCCAGAAAAATGACAAATCACACTGATTTCATATTTAATCTTTAAAAAAATAATGCTAATATTTTTGACTAGATTAAAAATACTTGATAAAACTGTCATTCTAATTGTTTAAAATATATGAAAAGTAGAGACGTCAACACAAATATAATCATAACCTGTTCATATGATTTTTGTCAATGGATATTAGTGAGTACAGGGACATTAGCTATGGTATAAACATCAGTTTGTTGCGTGGGAACGAGTCAGTGTGGGAAAAGCAAAAGTAAAAAATGTGTGCGAAAAGGATTTTCAGAATAATTCTAAACCCCAAATGGTTTCCATTTCCTAAAAACAGAATATGCCTCTTACAATCACTGTTTCTTGATTGAATGCTCTATAGACAATACTTTCATAGATGACTCTTAGCTTATAAGGTACTTGAATTTAGAAATCAAAATGCATAATGTAATAATTATAAGCCCCTGCAGGCTAAGTGAAAGTACACTTTTGTAATTATTTATTTAAAACCGACACATAAATACAAGCAAACACTTAAACACAGATACATACACACACACACACACCTCTGAAAGGGGCAATCACAAATTCATTCAGTAAACTAAGGAATGTTTTTATGAATGACCCATAATAAACATTAGCTCAGTTTAATGTACAAACCAGAATACAGCAAAACTGCTGTATTTATTTTCCACAGATCTTTCTTCTCCTTTATTTCCAAGGTCAAAAGCAGAAACATCCCAATTTTAGCTTCACTTTAAACATTTATATTTTATACTCTGTTTTTACATTATATGATGATATACTTTACAGATAAGAATTTGGCAACTGAGCTTCACTTGCTGTAAGTGAAAATTACACACATTTTTCTGTAGCATCATCTGTACAGAGAATGACACCCAAATTACATGCAATGAAGTCTATTAAAATATCAGAAAAAAATTCAAATTAAAGTAAAATAAAATAATATCCCATTTTGCATCTCTCTAATTTTCTACACCTTGCAAAGAGAAAGGATATATTGTGAAGAGTTTAACGTATTTCACAAGAATTCTAAACTCAGTTACCACAGCAATATAAAAATAAATTAATTAGCATTACTTTTATTTCAAGCAGGAATATTTATCATCGCTGTTTCACCTGCCTGATTACATATCAGCCTCTGGCAGTGTTAATCCCTTTAACAGTTTTATGTAGTTAACAGATGTTTCAGTGTGGGGCTCCATTGTCCATCTGCATGGCCAATGGCCTGTTATGTAGTGCTGGCACAGTCTTCGGTCAACGAAGTCCTATGGCTTTCAGTTTCTTCCCTGGGACTGCATTTACCATCCCTGAAATAATGACTGCACATTTCCGTTCATTTCCCTGGGAGCTGAACGTTCAAAGAGTCCGCTAACAAATGCAGCAGTGGTCCAGGCCAGCAATATTTATTTAATTAAGTTTTGTGAACTCTAAGAACAAGCTTCAGTATTTTGCAGAAGAGCTCTCGGAACTGTGATGTGTAACTTTTAAAGTCTAATGATAAAAGTGTTTCCAAACTTTTAGAATGAGGTTAATAATCTCTGTTTTTTTTTTTTTTTTTTTTTGGCCACGCCACACAGCATGTGGGATCTTAGTTCCCCAACCAGGGGTCGAACCCTTGCCCCCTGCAGTGGAAGTGCAGAGTCTTAACCACTGGACCGCCAGGGAAGCCCGTTATTCTTGAACAAGCTTTACCTCACCTTGCTCTCTTTGTCACCTTTGCAACCATGAGACAAAGGAAGGGGTCTGCCTAATGTATCCATGTATCTACCCTCATCAAAATATCTTTTTTAAAATGCATTCTTATTAATTCTATAGATAGCAATTTTCTACACCTTAATATTCAAATTTCAGATAATTTGGTGACTAAGAAGAATTAATTCATTTGAATAAAAGAGATAATATGCGACTCAATCAAATATGTATCTTCCTTTTATTGCCCAAATGACATTTCATTCTTGACTTCTGGACTCAAGAAATACATCATCATGTGTATTTTTCGGTCCTATAAACTGACATTAAATCCACACAGGGTAGTAAAAACACTACATTTAATAGTCAGTCTATCAGACTATAATCACTAAGAATGATAGACAATATTTATTGAATATTTACTCTGTGTCAGGCGTTGTTTAAACTGCCATATATGCATTAACTCAGTTAATTCTCATGGCAAGCCTAATTATGATTTGCACTTCAGAGATGGAGAAACTGAGGCACACAGACTGAAGTAAATGCCTGAGATCATATGACTAATAAAATATAAAGTAGATAATCAACTCCATTCTCTTGGCTTCCAGAGCCCTGGTTCTCAACCACAGTGCTAATACTACCCTACTCTTAAAAGACAAAAAACAAACAAACCCCCCAAAAACCTTTAACTATGTCTATATCTATCAATGATATGGGTGAACAAGATATGCTGCTTCTTAATAATTAAGTATGAAAAGGAGAGGCTTTCACCCCAATATGTTCACTCTTAAAGAAGTGATATAAATGTCCTGAAATTAATTAACCCAGCAGTATTGTAGGCTTATAAAGCTCTCTCCATCCAAATACACATTGGTTTATACTATATTCCAAAAAAATGACCCTTAAGATTTAAATAGTTATACAAACCAAACATATACATTTGAGGTCTAAGTGGCTGAACAAAATAATGGTGCTCAGTAGTTTATGATTTTTTATCTATTTTTATAGAATGTGTGGCGACCTCTAGCATTCTTTCTAGTTCAATAAAGTTTTGAACTTAGAAGAAACCGTACAGAAGATTTGGACTATCTGTAACTAAATTCTCATTAATGCAAGTTCATTAATTTTGGTATTGCATAGACGCAGCACAAAATGAACTACAGATCCACAGAGAAAGTGCTTTGGTGCCAAACAAGTTTTGACATGGTCATGTTCTTCTTCCAGCAACAGGCATGGGATGTAATGTCCAGCATGGTAACCACAGTTAATAATATTATAGTCTCTATCTGGAAGTTGCTAAGAGAGTAAATCTTAAAAGTTCTCATCACAACAGAAAAAACCTTTGTAACTTAGGCGATGGGTGTTAGTTAGGCTTACTGTGGTGATCATTTTGCAATATATACCAATAGCAAGTCACTATGTTGTACACCTGAAACTAATATAATGTTATATGTCAATTATATCTGAATTTTTAAAAGCTATATTATGTAGTTATTCCTTAAATTCTTTAAAAATTGGATAAAAATATGTTATCACAAATATCCATTTTGAAACTAAATTGCACTACCTGTAACCTATTCTGTCAAACTAGGAGATGTCAAATTTCATTTAGTAATAGAAAAAAATACATAATGGTTGTGTAAAAACTATTTTTAAAGTTTTTTTGGTTAAAATAATTTTTCATTATACTTCTGCATGAACCTCAAACCACTAATGCTTACTCCTTTTGGATTATAGATCTCTTGATGTAGCTAGAGATGCCCTCCAAAACTCAAATGCACATGCATACAGGCAAACACTCATGCAATTGCACACACAATTTTACATAGAGTTCATTTTCTACTCTCATAGTTCCAACTATGAACTTCCTCAATGAAATCCCCTAGTAACTCCTATAAACCCTGGGTTCCAGGTTAAGAAGCTGTGACCTAAATGTGAAAAGGACTATAAACTCATTAATATATACAATTAGACGCTTTCAAAATGATCAGTTATTATATGTAAAAGGAGCCTCAAACTATAGATTTTATTGATGTTTTATTCAGATAAACATAGAGGCATGTATGTCAATAACTTGAAAATTTACTGTTCCTAAGATAAACATTTAGACAGAG